AGAATCAAGATCTCCATCAAAATGTGTACCTAGAAAGGGAAAATGGGCAGGGAGAGGACTGGATTTCCAGGTACTATGCAAGCCTGTGAAAGCAGAGTACAGTGGAGAGAACTGAGCAGCAGGTGCAGATTCCCTACAGCACTAAAGGATTAATAAATCAATTATTTTTAATTTTTTTTTTCTGTTTTTTCTTACAGTTCCAAAACCCACAAGTATTTCAAACCTTTTTTTTTTTTTCCCCTAAGGGGAAACTTTCTGTACACTTCTTTGTATTTATTAATTCAGATTTAATTTCTTCTTGGATTATTTCTTATTTACAGGTTTTTATTCTGTCCAGTTCTAGAAAAGGTGTAACAGACACAAGCTATGTGTGGAGGACACCATCACTTAAAAAAATAGCCATTTGATCCACAAGATAAATGCAGAAGAATGTGTAATTAATCATTTTTTAAATAGGTGGATGTAACATCACTTCTTTTAGAGCATTCATTGTTCATTATTAACTCAAACAAAGGATGGACAGGATAAATAGCTGAAGCAAATGGTTATCAAGAGGTCCTATTGAAAATTTTATAAAAGGTTTGAACAGAAGAGCTTTGCTGCCTGAAAGCTCTCAGTTTCCAGTTGTCTGACCTTCTAATGAAACAATAAAGCAGAGTGAGGAGGAGGAGGAGAAAATGTCACTTCAAACTGACATGGACACATCAGTGTGGGAGAAATCTCCTGGTGCTGCTCTAACACCATCTTAAATTTAACTTCCCCCTCTGTTTGGCTGACTTCTGTAGTATTGCTTTTCCCCTGCTACTCAGAGTTTATTTTGATCCTATTCATCCCTGTGGAAAGGAATTAATCAGATTAATTTCCTTTAAAGTAAAGAAACCAAGAAAACACACATTAATGGCCCATAGCAAAGTAGAAATAATCCAAGTGCAAGATCACTTCTCTCATTCCTTTTGTGTTGAGAAGTGCTGCGACTAAAAGGGCCCAGAGTTTGTCTTATTTCACAGCAGCCTTTTAAGTTTTGAATCACCTGGTAAAACGTGGCCTTCTTTTTATGAGGTTATTCAGTGAACCACAATTAAAGCTCCATTATGCTGGGAGGACTCCCAGAACACCTCTGCTCTTCAGTAACATAAATCAGAAATAAACACAATTCCCTGCTAGAGGGAATGGAAGAAAACACCAAAGCACCACCCAGAGCCAAGACATGCAGAATGACTCCATTAGGACCTGCCTTTGTTTATTCCACAAGATTTAATGGTCTGGCTGGCAAGTTAAAATGCTGAGGAGGTCACCTCCAAGGTAGGAATCCACCCAGAAACCTTCCCCTGGCAGGGAAAAGATTTCTCAAAGGAAAACAGCAAGATTTTTTTTTTTCCTGTGGAGTCAGCAGCAAAATGTACAGGCATCTACATAAACAGCTTAAAATAGTTGTATAAACTGAGGAACAAGAAAGACACAAATGCTCAAGTTGTCTGAACAGAAAAATTGTGGCTCAGGAATATAGTTGGTGCTTTTTTGGGGGGGGTGGAGGGACTCCTGTGGTTTGTTAATAAAAGAATAGGAAGGGTATCCATGTCTAAAATGAGATTTTTTTAACACTGGAGGACTACTACAAGAAATTCCCAGAAACATGAAAGCTCCACAAATCTCAGCTTCTCCCTATAAATAAAATTTTTCCTTCAAAAAGGGGAAGGTTTCAGTGCAGCTCATGATGATCAATCAATCTGACCTGGCAGCTCATGGATTCCCAGTCCAGGTTCCTTGGACAGCCTCAGGATTATCCAGTAGCAAACCCAGATTTTTTTGTTTAGATGCATTTAAATGCTACAAAATAAAGGAGATGTTACTTCCAGTCTGCTTTATTTGATTCCAGAGTAAGAACTACTCAAGCAAGGCATTTCTTGTTGTGATCCCAAGGTCTGACTCAGTCTCTCTAGGACCTGTTTCGAAATTCCCTGCTCATTGTCCAGGAGGTATCAGGAAAGACAAGAATGCTCAACAGCAGGCAACACTGATTATTCCTTATCATTATTTCAGCTTTACAGGAAAACAGGCAAGATGGAAATAAATATTTCTGAAATAATTGATCTAAACATGGACAATGCCTCTGCTAGAATTAAAATAAGGGTATTTGAGGGGAAAAAAAATGAATGCTGAGGAATGAAAAATCTCAAAAACTGAGTTAGAAATCCTTCATAGAGATTAATACCCCACATGGGCTAAAAGGATCAGAGGAAAAAGCCAGCTCTTCTGCAGTGCCAGCAAGCCAATGAATAAATAATGCACTGAGCTCTATCCCCTGGTCAGGACTTGCTGCAGGTCAAGGCTGAGGTGTGCTGGGACACCCGTGAGAGGTGAAATGAGTGACTTGAGGGGATGAAGGACACAGCCAAAGATGGGTACTTGGGAAACTGGCCAGTTCTTTATGTCCTTGGAACAGTCCACCCTGAAAAACACTAGTCCAAAGCCACCAACACTCACAGAAGATAAAAAATGGCCACACAGAGACTTTGGGGATAAATCAACAATCAGGAAGGGAGAGCTGAAAGCAGGTTTCAAGCAATGATGTAAAATGAGCTCTCAGCTTCCCACTAGCGGGGCAGAGCTCCAGGGTGTTCCAGCAGGAGCAGTGGACACTCTGCAGAGGATTCCAGCCCCTCCAGGACCTGCCTTAGCTGGGTTTTCCCAGGCTGAGATAATCCAGGGGTGCCAGAGCCACCTGTGGTTCAGAAAGGAAATGACTCTTCTGCTGCTCCTGGAATGTTTGCTTGGATTTCCACAAGAGACTCAAAAAAGGAAAGACAGGAGCTGGGTTTGTTTTTTTTCCCTTTTTTTTCCTCTTGGAGAAGGTAGATTGGTTTTATGTATTCCTCCCCACTCAGAGCTCTGACCTCCTGCAGCAATTCCTGGGTTTACCCCTAGAATTCAGACAAGACAAAAATATTGCACAGAGCTCCCCATGAGCAGACTGGAGAGAACCAAATCCCCTGCAGAACACTGTGTGAGGATATCTGGATGGAGAAGGAACACCAGGCATATAAAGCAGTATTATCTTCATTTACTGTGGAAAGGAAGGCTGTGAAGGAGCAATTCAATACTAAGAAACACAACTGAAGAAACAAAACCAGATTTCCTTGGCAGCACAGTCACCATCAATGCCTTTTCAGCTACATTTATTTCAACATGCACATTATTAGGTGCCACAGCCTCCTAAAGCACCCTGCTGTTGACCTTAAAAATAAAACATGAAGCTGAATTTCTGCTATAAATCCAAATTAAAATCTTTCGTAAATAGGGTATCCTTGTAAACATTTCTGCACTTTGAATTGATTGAGATGGAGCACAGAATATTTCAGGTGGATGATACATATTCAGGAATATAAGTGTACCTTCCCAAACCTTCAGCTGACTTACAGGAAATTAAAAGCCATAATGATTCCACAACTGCTTACACAATGAAAATGTTATACATAAAAAATGCCAAGAAATCCACCTGGAGTTCCTAGAATCACAGGGGATAAAAAAATTAAAATGCAATGCAATTTACAGGAGTGAAAGGTAGGTGTACACTAGAAATCTAATCTGACCAAAAAACCCATCAATTTTTCTAAAGTTCCTGATATGCCACAAAACATCTGAATGGAAATATGGTTTTAAAGGTAGTTCAGCTTCATGGAAGTCCTCAGGACACTTCAGTCTCACTGTAGGGAGTCAAATCTGGCTTGCTCTCCTGCTGCATTTTCTATTTTACCCTGGCACTTTTCACACCAGCAGCCTTTCCATTTCCTCCAATTTCCTTTCCAAATCCAAAGCAGCATTCCCAGCTCCCTGTAACAAGCCTGCTTTCAGGTGCAAAGCTGTAATTTTAACATCAGGACTCAGCCCCAACTCACAGTGCACAAGCACCGACCTTCCTTTAAGTACAAAGGCTCTTATCAAAAGTCCTCACCCAACTGGGACACATCCAGCCATGTTCTGTCATCACCTCTGTTCAATTAAGAGCATTCTCTGCAGCAGCTTGGCATCAGATTCACGTTACTTGAACAAATCCTGCCCTTGGAGTACTCAGGGTTGTAAGAATCAGAGCCCTGCAGTTCCCAGCAGCAACAGGCAGCTGTCAAAAAGGACAGAAATTAATGTATTTCAAGTTCAGAGTTATGTGTCATTATCTGGAGAGACCCTTAATAAAAGGTTATTCAGGGTATTTAGGTGGCCTAAAATAAATTAATCCAAGTTTGTTCCTATGAAGCAGTGAATTCAACTTCCACTCTGCCCCAGGAATATTCTGCAATTACTGCTTCCTGCTGGAGGCTACCTCCAGAAACTTTTAGATTCACTTCACTTCCTCATTTGCCATTGAAATTCTCCCTAGATCTAAGCATTGCTTTTAGTAGTCTGGATATGGAAGCTCTAAATAGAAGAATCTCAGTGGCAGTAAAACATATAAAATATTTGGCTTTTTTCCCAAAGAAGAGCTCTCCTACCATGTACAGTGCACAATTTCCCAGCAAATTACAGGTGACAGGTTTGGTCATCATATTGACCAGACTGCTGAGGCTTAAAGACTCCAAAAGACAAAATCCAGCTTGATTTTCTTTCTGAGCAGTTCCCAGCAGGAGATACACCATGGGCAGCAGTTATTACAAGACACAGGATCTTCAAAAGATGAAAATCCAAGAAAAGATGAGCTGAGATTTCCCCCAGGGTCTGAGTTGAGCTTGTTGAGCAGGATTTGACAGAGGGCAGCTCCAGAAGTGCAGCTTCCTTTTAGTGCCACTCTCAGCTGGCATGACAAGGGAAACCAGCAAACACAGGTCCACTCACATTCAGACTCCTGCCATACTTTGGGGGGAAAAGCCCTACATTTAAATCTCAGGGTAATGGAAGGAATCAAGTTCAATCCCATAAAGCTGCTGGTGATCTTGGTCTGCCTCCACCTGGATTTAAAACATGGTGTAATGCAAATTCCTTGGAATAAACAGGCTTTAACACAAGTATTTCAATATGGAACCCAAGTTTATTATTTCCTTGTATCCAGCCATTTTAACAATTCTCCCTTGTTAGTACAGACAAGGAAAACTTTTTCAGGTTTCAGAACAATGAAATGAAATTACAGAGGACTAATCTTGCTGGTGTGCCCAGTGAGAGCCCTCACAAGTCCAAGTGTCCTCTTATCATTCCTCTTCACATTGATCTCCAGTGTAATTCCCCCTGTACTTATTATTTCCATAAAAGGGTACCTTATAAAGTCCAAACTGTATGCATAAAAATAAAAAAAAAAAATCAAAATCAAAGCACATTCCCAGATTTTCAGTGTTTCACAGAAATTATACATCCAGGTAAGAGACCAGATCAACATGACTACTTCAGAATTTGAGAAAAAAAATTAGGTTTTTCTAATGTTTATTTATCAACCTCTTGACCCACAGAAATCTTTGATTGCAGTAAAAAACCCAAAGTATTTGTCAAGATTATGCATGTGTTTATTACAATGCAAATATCTCTTCTTGGAAGTCCCTTCCAGTGGTCCTCATTAACAGAAAAAGCCTTTGTACTAAACTCGAAAAGAGAAGTCCAAAAATAGCTATTGAGAGACTTCCTGAATATTGAATCAGTAATAATTAAATATAAAAAAAGTTCAAGTCCCAGTAGCCAAACCCAGGTGCATTTCCCACTGATCCCACACTCAGGAGAATCCATCCCTCTCAAGAGAAGGTGTGTTCTAGAGAGCAACACTCACCTGGCTCAATCAACTTAGGTCAGACTTTCTACATCACATTAATAACTAAGAAACTAAAGAACTGAATGGGTAACAGCAGCCTGGGGAGTCAGATCAAGGCATGGCCCAAAAGATTATTTGTATCTTTCAAACTGAAGAAATTTTTTTTAAATATTAAAAAAATTAAGAGCCCACTTTCTCTTCTTTGTGGAGCCCATTCTCTTTTCTTCACAGCCCATCCCTTTGGCACATGAAGACAAACCATTTCCAGAATGCATCAATTTTAAGATTGCTCTTAAGCCACTGTTTGCAATGTTCATGGAAAAGGAGATGTGAAAACAACGTGTTGCCACAGCTGGGCAGTTCTAATTGCCTGTGAGGTTACAAGAGGTGGTATCTCCCTTTCTCCTCTCCTCTTGCAGGGCTTCTCCCCTCCCATCTGAGCTCCATCCCAGGCCCAGGAGTCAGCCCAGCAGCGGGTCCCCGATGCCGTGCTCCGGGTCGCAGGTGAAGGAGATGGTGATGGCAAAGCGAGTGCCCCACTGCACCTTCTCCACCCGGTGCAGGTTCTCTGATCCAGAGGTGAAAAACGACACCCGGCCTGCAAGGACAAAGGTTGGAAGCCGTGAGTGGAGTTTGTCTCCCCCCACAGCTCAGCTCCTGTCTGCTTCCAGCTGCTCCCCAGTGACCTGAGAGCCCACAGGTGACCACAAACTGCCACCAGCTCACACTGCACCCTGACAGCTTTCCACTCTTTAAAACACACATTAATCCTTTGTGCCACGAGGCTGGAGATATAATCCCACCAAAGCTAGTTTACAACAGGCAGGAGGAAGCCGAGAACATGGAAGCCACTTCTTAATTGCCTCAATTAAAAACAAAAAAGCGCAACTCTAGTGACTGTCAGCAAAGTGTATGGATTTCCCTCCTGCTCCCCTTCTAGTCCTGGCTCTAATTTTAGACCAAAGAAGGAAGAAGCACCACAGAGGTGGCAAAAAGCCCTCAGTGACAGAACCCCAGCAGGTTGACAAGCAGCTGTGGCAGTTTCTCAGCATTGTGTTTATCAGCAAGTGTTTGCTATCACTTTCTGTGCCTGGTCTGATGTCTCGCTGCTCAGGCAGGTTACCACGTCCCCTGTCAGCCACGTACAAATTCACTTTCCTTAGGAAGAGCCACTCCAGCCATGCACTGGCTTGGCAGTTGTTTTAGAGATGCAAGTGCTCCCTGCTGTGCTTGCTCCTGGCCCAGCCTTGGCCACGGCACTGTGGGCTCAGTGGTGCCAGGGGAAGTGGAAATGCAGTGACTGAGTACACTGCCACCCCACTCCATGAGGCAGCAGGATGGAGCCCCCTGCACTGCCACCTTCTTCACCTCTTCTGAGAATGCACAGCTTTGATGTCCAGCAGCTAACTCCAAACTGACTCTGTGGGACTGCTCCAGCTCTCCTGAGGAAGCCAAAATTTCTCACCTGCAGAGCTCCCTCCCCACAACAGCATGTGGTTTTTCTACTCAGGCTTTTCCCCCACTGCTCAAATTAGAGTTTCTTTAAAAGCAGATGCCCACCTAAAGTCTGTACAACAACAACATGAACTATTCCAACCCTTACCCAACCTCACAGCCAAAATGGGCACCAGGCACTCACTGGGTTCCTCTTCTAAAAGGGACCCCAAAGATCCAGAAGTTCCTTTGCTTGCACCCTCCTCAGCAGCACACATGGGGGGTTTGCACAAAACTAGACTGGCTTTATGGGGCTGGGTTTACCCACTAATCCCTGAGTCCCTTTCATGTTCACTTGCAGCTCACACCTAATCCTCGTGCAGTTCAGTGTCTTTTGTAACAATTTCATCCCCTTCTGTGCCTGTGGCTGCACCTCAATAATGGCTGAAGTTACACACATGTAAAGAAGAGATCCATTTGTATGCACAGCTCATTCCCACCTCGGTGTCCTGCTTTTCTGGATGAAAGGCTAAATGAAGGCAACATGCTCCTGTCCTACCAGTGCTGCCCTTAAGGATCCATACAAAATCCCTGTGTCATGATTCTTTTTTTCCTCCCTTTAAAAAAAAGTATTTCAAGTGCATTAAAGTACATTATTATTGGTCCCTCACCTGCTCACCCAAAGCTTTGTCTTAAACTGATTTTCAAGCTGTTTTGTTTGATCTCTGACTAGAAGTAGCAGTAATCCAGTGCTAGACAAGGCTCAGTGCGTTGTTTAAGCCTGTTAAATTGATTTTCTTTTTGGCCATACTGAATGTCTTTTAAGTTCTTTCTTTAATAAATATGTCTTCATATATATGGTATCAATCTGTTCCCTATGCATCAGCTGGGGTCTCTGGGTAACTGAAGAAGGCTATAGTCAATTTTCAAAGCAACTTCTTCCTCACTTGGGAAGGATTTCTTTTAAACTTACTTCCTTTACAAAATTTTTGAAGCAAAAGCACACTCTTTCCATGGTATGTTATTTTTATCAGTATAGATGTTCATAAAGAGGGTAAAGAATATTAATTCCCATCCCATCTGACCAAACCTTCAAGGGATATATGGGAATATCCTTATCCAGATGATGGTCACTGGCAATGACCAAGGCCAGGGAACTCCTAACAACCTCTTACAGGAAGAAAGATTTTAATTGTATTAGAGGTAACCACTTCCCCTGACTTTTTGAGAATCCATTTCTGCATTGATCCACAGGAATCATTTTAGAAGACATGCAAGTGCCAGTTGCAAGATCCACTGCTACACATTTTATGGCACCCCAATTTAGATGAAGGAACTTTGTTATTTTAAGGAATAATATTTAACAAGAAGCAAAAGCAACAGACATTTCACTGTGCAGCAATTATGTAGCATTTAATTACTCAAACAAAGTCAGTGGAGGAAAAACTGTATTAAATCCAAGCCTTTGCTTTTCCCTGCTTTTGCCTTTCCAGGTTTAATTCTGAACCACCTCTTAGCAGTGAATTCTTTTCAGATGTATTCGGAGCTCTGTCACAGGAAAAGTCACTATTCCCAAAAGGCTTGCTCTCAGGAAATGTTATCCCTGCTGAATAGGTTCACTTCCATCAACAAGCTGCCTTCAATTTACCACCTAACCTCTGTCCTGAGAGGCAATACAGACTGGAGGGAAACACAAAGGAAACAATTTTCAGTGACATATGCACCCCTAACATGTAACTGTGACCTCAACAAAACCACTTTCTGCCACTTATTTCCTTGTCTACAAGAAATGAAAGTAGTACTGACCTATTCTAACAAGGTTTCTGTGAAAATTAATCAGTAAGCATCATTATAATACTTTGCAGTTAACACATACTCTGATTTTCAAGCATTATAAAAGACTTCATCTTCTTTTGTTCTTACTCTGACAAGAGGAAAATTAGTAGAACACAGCCACTTAAATTATAACAAAATGTGGGGAATGTATGATGTGATTTTGAGAACCATAAAAAAATTAACAGACCACAAAGCTCATAAGAAAAAATATAACATGATTATTATATCTCTAATATTACACATTCATTACATAACAGGTTGGAAGAGCACTTGAGACATTACCTGGTCAAATTCTCTTTCTCAAATCAAGGCCAGCTCCTAAATTACATCCAGCTCCTGAATCCTACCAGGCTGCCAGGGCCACATCATTGCCACAAGTGAGTGCAGCATTCAGATGTTCCCCAGGGATGTCTCACACATGATTTTGCTACTCCTGTCTCTCCTGTGCTTGATTTTTGAACGGGGGACAAGGAGTAGATGATGTTCAGAAGTCCTTTCCAACCCCAGTTATTCTGATTACAAACAAAACAGTCCATCCACATCAATGCCAGCTTTGGTAAACATTTCTATTTGCAGCTTGCCTGTTTTGCCACTGGACTCTAAGCCCCATCATGCTCCCATCCTTCACACGGTACTTTTCCCCTTCTGCCTTCTCTGCAGCACCCTTCTGGCTCTTCTGGTTTAATTCACTGCCAAATTTCCCTGTAAACTCCTTGGGTCATGAGAACCTCAAGGAGAAAAAGCAAATGATGTGTTAGATTGTCTCCACCACCACTCAGTTGAGTACGGGAATGGTAACTGCACCCTCTCTCCTCCCTGGGCACCAGGGAAGGGCAAGGGCCAGGGAAGGGGAGGGAAGGAATGCAAAGCAGGGCTGGAGGAATGGAAAGGGCCTCACCACCATCCACTGTCCATGGCAACAGGCTGGGGGCACTGGGAAGACTGAAATGCTGCTCAGGAGGAATGGAAGTAGCTCCTCTGTCTGGTTAAAGAGAAGCAGGAACAGTTTATTTGGCACCACAGATCTATTCAGCATCTTTCATCTCATGCACTGACAGCTTCCACTGCCTGCCTCACATTTATCAGCTCTAAATGTTCCTCAGGAAAGAAGGAAAAACTGCATCTCATCTGCTGAGTGACAGCCAGACAGAAGCACTGCCAGGGAAAAAGCACTTCAGTTGTGTTCTCATCCTCATCATCTATTGAGAATTAATCACCAATTTATTCTCATGTAGAGTATCTGAGAAAACTCATCATATCATTAGGCAAATAAACTGGTAATAATGTTTCCTGCAAGCACACAATAAAATTTATTTAATTAATTCAATTACTTATTTAAAAATATTGAATTGGGACAATTTAAGCAAATCCCACAAAAAGGAACCTGGACTGACAATGTCTACAAGTGCCCTGATCTGGAGTGAAGAGAGCACCCCAGCAGAGAGGGCACAAGCTTCTCTGAACCATTTTGCTACAGTTATATCAAGCACTGAAGAATAAAAAACTCTACAGCCTAAAAATAAAACCCCAAACAAAAATCTACACACAATGGGTATCAAATCCTAGTTACAAACTGGTACCATATTTAGTTACTAGACAGCAATTTCTTGCTGTTATAAATCAAATCACTGGTTCACATAGTGAAGTCTCCTCACAGCCAGTCTGTAATTGGTAGTGTTAACAATACTCTCAAAAAAGTAGTTGCTTCTACTTTAAATTCAGAAAGGCCTGGAAATCTTCCAAATTACAGTTTTTAAAGAAAATTAATGAACTTATTTATTTCCTACATGTAAAAAGTACATGAATATTTTTAGATACCAACTGCTAGATTTTGAGAATCCCTGCCTGCTTCTCTCCTACCAGTACAGCTTGCTGCTTGAAATCACAGGAGTTTCCACTCTGTCTAAAGGTGTGACAACTCTGGGGAGTGTTTAGAAGTGAAAAATGTATATTTTCTCTCTCCAAATGAATTATGAGTCTCCCCAAGGCCTTTTGGATCCATCTCAAGAGGACAGGGATATCACCCCTGCTCTGCAGTTCTCCCCTTCAGGGCTGAGCCTCACCCAGCCAGCGCTGCCAGCTCTGCTCTGCTCTCCCTGTCAGAGCTGCACCAGGGCTCAGAATTTGACTCCTACAAAAAGTTCTCACTAAGAACAAAGTGTTGCAACTTGAACCACATTAAAACAACCTCAGGATCATGTCTGACTTTTCCTGACCTTGCCGAAGGTGGCATGTCCAGCAGAGCTGTGGTCAAATCACATGGATGCCCAAGTTCAGGGTTTTGGACCTGTGGTAAGAAGGAACTCATCCTTATATTTAATAAATCACTGAAGCATAAGCACAAAGGTAACCTCTGCTGCTCAGTTATTCCAAAAATGGTCCTTAAAGAGGCTTCATCAGAGCATCTGTAGCCTGTGATACTCACACAGAGCTTAGGAACCAAGAACTGAACTCTCACTACTGAACCACTCACTGACACAGCTGATCCTACAGTTACTTTGGCATTTTATTTCATCTGTTACATTACCTGAATTTCATGAAGTACCTTTTTGAAGCTGATTTTCCACTACTTTCTGCCTTCAGCTTTGCTGCATATTTTCTTGACCAGCATCAACTCAAATTCAAGAACTCTTGGCCTGCACGTGCATTAATAAAGGCACAAACAGGACGTGCTACATGTGGTCGTTTATAACCAAGTTTTCATGGCAGGGGAAAAGCCTGAGTGGCCAATTCTGAATACTGGCAGTGCTTCACAATCCTGTGTGCAGCACTAACACAGGACAACTCTTCCCCCAGCACTCCTCAATCCTTTCAGTGCTCCAGGCAGTGGATTTATCAGAAGTCACTCCCACAAACCCCACCTTAGGTGCACTCCCAGGTACCTATTGCTTTATGGGCCCAGTTAAAACAGTGTTTTATTTATGTCATGGTTAACCTGGCATCAAACACCATCAGAACACAAAACCTGCCTGGAAGACAGTTATTATTCCACAGATAACAAAACGAAAAGCAAATTCTACTGAGAAATAAGGAGCTATTTTTTGTCTTATTGACAGAACTGCAACAGATCCTCCTTTTCCTACCACTTCTCTTTGCAATCACCTCACCAGTCCCTGGCACAGTTTGTGATGAGTATTGCAAATCAGTAAGAATTGCTGTCCTTTGCATGGCTGGTGCTTACTGCAGCTGCTAATGCTGGCTCCTCATCATCTCATTCCTCACCAGGACTGACAGCTACTTCTGTGGACTTTTTAAAAATTATTTAAAATTATTCTCAGCTTTCAACTGATACTGATTTAACTTCAAGATGTGCTCCAGGTTTTTATTGATTGGCAGAAAACTAAAAAGCAAGGATTGGCAGAAGATTATCATGACCTAGACTGAATCTGGAGGATGTGGATTGAATACAGAGACAGATGAGACTGTCTATATGGGGGGAAATTCCCAAATATCTTAGACATTCAAATCTAATATTGTACACTTCCAGAAACACACATTTCTGACAGCTGTGAGAACACACTAAGTTTGAGATTAGAGTCACATTTCACTCTCCAATGCACAGAATTCATTTTGCCCCACAGATTAGTTCCTTCCACAAACACAGAAATGATTGTGACCTTTCCTTCTGCCTTTGTATAATAAATTACTTGTATAAAGAACAAATTCCCTTGTAAATTGAAAATAGGTGCAGCAAAGCTGACCTTCAAACCAAGAAATGCACATGCAAATAAACACAGAACCAGTACTGGGATTTCATTCCAACAGCAGTTTCATCTACACTTAATGATCAAGTGAAGTCTGTGACCTGCCTAATATTGCCAGACCCTAAACTCACACAGAAATCTTCAAAATGTTGAAATTCTAAACATGACATTTTCAAATATGAAATTTTTAACACTAAAAAGTTTAGCAGCAGCAGAAAGTATACCAATTTTGTGACTGAAAAAGGAAAGCCTTGATGTTTGCCATTTTTCCTTATTCCTCCTGTATGTCTTGCAGATTACCAGAACATGTCTCTGACCAGCAAAAAGAGTTAATATTGAAACAGTTAATATTAACAGAGTTAATATTGAAAGGGCTTCCTTTTGAAGGACCTCATTCAAAATGTTGCTGTTTCTTACAGTCTCTCAAACAGAGCCAACTCTGGTGCAAAGGGTGGAAAAAAATCCCAGTATGACAATTTTGGAAACAGAATTTCCATATCTATTTAAAAGGAACAGATACAAGTTTAGATCTGTTTGTCACAAAAAAAAAAAAAAATGTTTTCTTCTCAAAGTCATGTTTCTCTTGGCACTAAGAATTTTCTTCCTCATGGTACAGTGAGTTTCTTGTGGCAGAGAGAGGTCCTGACTGAAGTCAAAAGACACATATTCATTTCTGAAGCCCATGAGAGCACAAGAAAGATGTGTTCCTTCATGCCACGTCTGGTTATGAATTACCCAAAGGTCTGTACACTTGAACTGGTGCTGACTTGTTCATTTCTGTTAAAAAAAATAACCTCAAGAGCCTCAACGTTAATAAATTATAATTCCTCCTTAAAGCTAGTGTTTGCCAACAACCAAACTAGGGGATGTTAAAGATCATCCTACAAATTAGAGGGTAATTCAGTCAACTGTGTGAGTCAGGACTTAGAGACTTCTTAGGTAATCTGCAAGTGATATAAACTGAGGGAAATGAAAATCATTTTAATTTAGGCTCCACTCCCAGCAGAACAGTTCTCCCTGTCCCCAGGTGCCTGGCTGACACTGATCCTCACCAGTGAAGTGCTGCAAATGCATCTGCAGCAGGAGTGGGATTTGCTCAGGCAGCACTTTCAAACACAGGATATCCCACAATGGTTTCATTGCTTTTTCTTGTATTTCCCAATTTTCTTGTATTTCCCAGAGCTTTTCTGCTCTGCTGCATCACTACCAATGCCTTTCTGCTCTCCACTCACACTTGAACAAACTGCTGCTCACAGGAAAAGAAACCTGCTCATTTTGGCGCGCAGTATCAGGTCCCCAAAAATGCAGGCTAAGTGTGAGACAAGATTTTAGGACAGCAGTGGCATTAGCAATACAGGAAAGTATATTAGTTGTCAAGCATGAAAACTAAACCAGAGATTATGACAGTCATCTCTAAAAAAGCCTGGAGCTCCTAAATGAGAAGCTCATCAACATGTGGTTTTAAAAGTTGAATCAGAGTGACAAGAGAAGCACAAAGGATCAAAAGAGCGTAAAACGAAACAAAACAAACAAAAGCCAAAAAGACAGAAGGAGAGAAAAAACACTGCAGAGGAACATTAGCAACATGAAAAATACATCAGCTTGTACCAGCAACAGAAAACAGCCTGGGGTCAATCCTTCACAAAACACATTTTATCAGCAAGAGAAAAATAAGTGCAAATGCCTTCACATTGTGCTTCACCTCTAAAGATTTTCCCCTTTGCTCACAGGATGTCAGTGGTGCACAGGACCCCTGACAACTGTGGTAACTCAGAGATGTGTTAGAGAAGTGTAATTCATCTTCTCTTGTATCCATGAAGGACATTTGTGCTATTCCTTAGGAGCTGTGCATTGTTTTGTTTCAGAAGGGAAGTCCTGTGGCACACACTGCCAACACAAACCCCTGGCAAAGGGAACAGCCAAAAAGAAAATTCTGTATTTCATCAGCTTCCCCTTTTTCCCCCAAAACGACATCAAGATCAAAGACCCTGCAGGAGAAAACCTGACAATGAATAGATGGGGCTGAATGGAAGCAATTTCACAGTTACAGACTTTTGGAAATTAAGTCAGGGGCATGCTGCGCTCTGCAGCTAGGCTGAGTGCCCCTGCACTGAAGAGACAGCTCTCCTCACATACCTAGAAATCAGCTGTGATTTCTACAGCTATAAAGATCTGGTAATCTTAGAGTTGCATCTGGAAACAAAATAATTCAATGTGTTCCCTTCAAAATACTGGCAGCAGCATTTAGAAAAAGATGAAGCTTTCAGTTTACGGTTTACTTCCAATCATAAAGACAAAATAATCAAACATACAAATGTTGATAGCAAACCCAGAATGCAGGTAATCTCAGAGTTTATCTAAACCAGCATCACTGCAGCTGAGTGAATCACTGTGATGCATAAGTCAAAAACCACCCATCCCAATTTGCAGGCAGCAATATTCTGAAGTTGGTTCTGCCTGGGGTAACAACTGTCAGCAGACAATTACTGAAGCTCTTTAATGAGTAACTTTCCATCTTTTCTGTCTTGGAAAAAAAGGACAGAACACAGCAGGAATATAAAGTTGTCCTTTATTTTTTTCCTGCAGAGGTGTGGCTGATCTTGTATTATGAAAGGTAACACTGCTGGAAGCTCAGCACTCACCTGCCAGACAGATGAGTTGAGGCTGAGCTCCTCTCTAGGCAGCCCCAGAGTAATTCCAGTTTCAAATTATCCACATATTAGAAAAATCTCAAACCAGCCTTAAAGGTTTTTTTCTTTAATTATAACTGACAGCCACCAGAAGGTTCATCCCTTCCAGACCTCCAGGAAGCAGGGATGGATTTATATCCAAGCAATCACAGTTCATCATGCTCCAGCTGCTCAGCAGAGACAGGCCACCTCCTCTAAGCCCTACAGCTTTCAAGGAAGTCACTTATTGTGGCTTAACACCAGGTATTACAAACTGTGGCTGTATTTTAACCTGTTTTCATCTTTATTTTTGATGTCATCAATCTGAGCACAGAATGCTACACTACCCCATTATTCCTGATACAAAACACAGTCCCACACCACCAAGAAATGGCAGAACCTGCCCAGCTCCCTGCAGCCAACCTGGGCTTGTACCTGCTCGGGGCTCCACTGTCTTGTTGGAATCTGCATCCATGAACACGAACCGTCCACCCCCGAAGTCTTCAGAGTAGTCAGAGAGGTAGAGCAGGGAAGTGTAGTCAAAAGAGCCATAAGTCACCTGTGAGGAAAGCCAAAATTATCAAAATGTACCAAATTCTTTATCTTATCTCTGCAGAACACAGCTAATGAGCGTTTTTCTAAACTTCAGTTTTTCGTGTATTTAATAAAGGGATCTTTGAAAACCAAGAACACCATTTTCTAGGAATTATCCATCTTTATTAGTCTATTCTCTTGTGTTTACACACTCACTACAAGACTAGCATGTCATGTTTATTATTTCCATTGTTATGGTTTCCATAATTAAACAAGTGTTGCAATTGATTTCTATCATCCAAGAGCAAAAAACAACTGAATGTCAGAAGTGCATTGCATGAAAAAGACAGGATTTATACCACTGCAAGATAAAATTTCACCAGGAGGTTAATAAGCAGAAGAACAGCCCTTGACTAATCATTTCCACCCATTATACCTCACTTCTGTTCTTTCACCAGCTGCCACACAGGAGATTCATGGTAACAGTAAATCAGAATTTCCAAGTAAATATATATTTTCTGGAGGAGCTTCTATTCTTTTCCATATAGGTTTTATTTAAAACCTTTCAAACAGAACTTTGGAAGTCTCTGCTTCTTCTCAGCCTACAGACCAAACACCCCACTTTTAAGTCTAACAAGGTGATTTTTTCCTTCCTTTTAAAGCATTATTTTTGGTGGATATGTATGCTTGAAGTAGGAGAAAATAAATATTCCATACTAATGCTCAGAGTGAAGCTGTCTAAATATTTAACACTGAGTTTAGCTGATCCTAGAAATATTTCCTTTCATATCTACCTGTCACCAGCAATTTAAAAAATACTTGAAATCAATGTCTGTGTTCTCCAATTTCTTTGTGTATCACAACTCAGAAGTTCAGCATTACACTGTCAAACAGTGAAATGTGCAGCACAGTAGCACTGTATAAATACACAGAATTTGCAGAGTGTTTTGACTGACCTGGTGACTGTTAGAGGTAAGTGCTACTTCCAAACTTAGAAGTTTTCTAAATATTTTCAGTCATGTTTCAAGTTATGCTCATTAGTGCCAGTTAGATTTTGGCTCAGGAGCAGTTGTACACATTTTTCTGTAAGGGCAGGAGCAGAGAGAACATAACAGCAGATGGAATAGGAAGACATTTCCATTCATACTCATGTTATTATTTTGACCATAAGGGCTTAAAGGAAAAAAGCCAAATCTGGTGATATGCTGCCCTACATGGTGTGAATCACAAAAAAATGAGAGAAATGTTACAGTGATCCCCATCTCCCCATATATTCCAAAACCCTGGTAGCTGTACAAGGCAATAAATAGGAATTAATGAGCAAGTGAAGGTGCAGCACCTCAAACCAGCCACTCTGCAGCCCTTCTCATGCAAATCAGCTTTGCAAAGCTATTTTCCACTTCACTGACTTGGTGATAAAAACTTCCAATCGATTTAAGCAAGTCTCCAGCCAGTGGAGAAGTTCATACAACTCGTACTTGCACGTTTAATGCATTAGAATTGTTTTTATCAACTCCTCAGTGGAGCTGCAATCTTTGCTCCCTCAGTGCACTCTCTCTCCTCTCCAAGGTGGCTTTACCAATTCTAAACTTCTAAGAGCTGACTACCAACCATCTTAGCCAAACCAAAAGCACCTGATTTCTACAGATTACTAATCTGGGGAATGAAGAAAATGGCTTTTCCCTTCCTGCCCTTAATTCATTACTCATTCTCAGAAGCAGCCAGGCCTGAGAAATGCACCAGTATGGAAAGCAGGCACTAAATTATAGTCAGTGATTTAAAATGCTAGAAGTCCCCCCATGTATATCAAATTTATTTGTTACCCTGGTAATGATTTCCAATACCAGACAGATTCATAATTGAACCAAAAGATCACACTATGTGAGAAAAGCTGTCATTGAAAGCCACACAGCTGCAAATCAAATTTCTACAGCTCCTTGTAAACAACTCAAGAGAAAAAATGCTGATATTTCCATTCAGCCTGCTATGTCATACAGTTAGTGTGCTCTTTTTGAACACTCCTTATCCAAAAAGTCAAACACAGATAATATTTAATGGTAGATGCTCATAATGATGTTTATATGATACTTCTTTAAAGGCTATTATTGTAAACAGAACTATCTGCCAGCCCCATTTTGCAATGGGTTTTTATTAGGGACACATTTCTATGCAACTAAACAGCAGTAGGACCATGCAAGAGGTCTGTAGTTACTGAGGATATTCAGGACAGCATCCTCTGCTTTCCAGTGCAGAAGAAAATTCACTTTGCAATCAGCATTGCTCTAGCATGCAAGAAAGAGTCAAAACTTCTCTTTCCTGCAAGCCTTCACCTCATTCTGTGTAGATAACTACCAGAATAGCCTTGATAGCTACTTCCAGTGTACTATTTATTGGCAGTGCCTATTTAGCAGACAGTGCAAGAGCAAAGAGCACATCCCTGAATTGCAAGGGGCTGTAGGTGAGCTGAGGTGATGGGTTTGAGCAGAAATGAGAATCAACCACCTCAATTTTCAGAGATGATGCTGTCCCAGGGCAGAAATGGGATCCTTTGATTTGTTTTATTACATTTAGGGGAAGAAAAGAAGAGTGAGAAGTCTGCTGGAAGGGACAGCAGCTGCTCTCAGTGACAGACTCAGGGCTGCAGGTACAGGGGAGGGTTGGGGAAATGGAGAGCACACTGCAGGTGGGGAATGTTTGGCTTGTTCAGCTCAGAGAAATAAAAGCTGAAAAGGGATCTGATTCCTACCTATAAATACATAGGGGTGGGAGAATGTAGCACTGAGAGGAGGAACAAAAATAGCTATAAACTGATCATGGCCATGTTTAAGCTAAAAAAACCCCAACAATTTCAGGAAAATGTGCACTGAAGTGCTGGACTAGCTCTGATAGAAGAAATTCAAAGAAAACTAACCCAAAACCATCTTATGGCAGAGCTTGACAATTCTGTGAAGGATGAGAGGACCCATGCCCAGGCAGGGGACTGCACAAATCAACAAGTCCCACACTGCCTCTACCAGAGAATGTGGTAAGACTGCAGTGCTGACAGTGTGAAGTGAGCAACAGCAACTCCATTATAAATACCATCAGGTATTTGACATTTGGAAGCCTCAGTTCCAAACAAATTCCATCCAAGATGAAACTCCACATCTTAAAACAACACTCACTTCATTTGATTTAGATGCTTGTAAATTCAACAAGATTAAATGAGTCATTCGGGTGATTTCAGGGTTTCCATTCCTATGTAACTACAAACCAAGTAAATTTTAGGGGGAAAAAAACCAAAGCCTCAGACACAATAAATCTGTACTACTCCTTTATGCTGTTAAAAGTCTTGAGGAAGATTCAGATTGAGAAATATAACTGAGGCAGACTCAGCATCATCAGGAAAAAGGCAAGAGGGATTTCCATATGTACCAAGAATCGACATCTTTTTAACATCACTCTGAAACAGAAAATAAATATAATGAACTCTTTTTGCTAAGCCTTCATTTTACCTTTCTTCTGAAAAGAGGCAAGGAAAATATCATAATGTATTTTAGGAATAACCTTCACTGTTAAATGATGCAGAAATACCTAAAGTGACTTGCTCTGTTCCAAGGGGAAAGCATAAATAATGATCCAACACAAAAGCATCCAACAAACCGGGAAGTTTTATTCATCTTTCTTCAACTTCCCAGTATTCACACTTGCTTTGGAGGCCACATAAGAACTCTACTGCTCTTTTCTGGGAAGAACTTCTTACCTCAGATCAATAGAAATGTTTTTGGGTTTTTCTCCTTGCTTTCAACTGCAGTCTGGAAGTGGAAAAGTTTGCTGGAGGAAGTGAAATCTAAGCCAGGCTGACTGCACTGAAGGCAACCTGGGAAGCTGCACACCTTCACCCTATTTAGTCTCTGCTCAGACTACTTATGATTATCAGCAAGGTGTTTGGTAACTGCCCCAACTGAGATAATTCTCTTTACAGACTCAAAATTATTTAGGTTGTGTCAAAGATCTCCAAGATCACTGACTCCAAGCAGTGTCATAAATCAGACAACCCAATTATTCAGTATAGACACTACTAGGGTCTACATTCTGCATTCCAAGTCTAAGAGAGCACTTTTCCTGCTTGTTTTGGTTTTTTGAAGCTGGAGATGGGTTAGAAAAAGCCAAGGCAAATCAATTGATGTATCTGCTCCCTGAACAGACAGGCTGCAAGATAAATAAAACATGAACAAAAGAGAAGGATAAAACCAGGAAAACATTTAGCTTGCTGTCCATCATGTTCAGGCACTCTCAGGATGACAGGACAGAAAAGCAGCTTCTACAAATTCACTTCATGTAAACTTATTTGCATGTAAATGACAAAATAACTTGTACATTACAGGAGATATTTAGGTGGAAACACTTAATTGAGAGGTTACCTTATTCATTTCCCAATGCAAAACACATTCAGAGAAGAATAAAGAGAATACTGGCAAGCAGGGCTTGTGCAGACACAAATCTCATTATAGTAATAAATCAGTCTGAAATTCTAAAATAGGCTTTTTGGGGGCTGAAATAAGAGTGGAGAAAATAAACATCAGCTGTTGAAATATACTGCTTTCCCCACCCTTGTGGCAGTCAAATCTGATTCTCTGAAACTGAGGAAAAACTAAGGAACTGATGAATTCACTGCACCTCACACAACCAGAATCACCAGTTTCCTTCTTCCCAAGGGTCCCTTGGAACTGAGCATAACATGATGGAATTTCTGTGAACCACACCAGCACACTTTGCTCCCTACAGCCTTTTCCTACCAACACAAATCAAAACAATCTGGACCTCAAAACCATCCCCTACCACCTGTGGTCCAATCCCTATTCACTGGTTACATCACAGCTTTCCAAACCAGAGGCATCCAAAACCTGGGAGATTCCACCCTACAGCACCTTCTGCTTCCAAACATAAGCTGTGTCATCACTACCACCACGTTTTCTAAATTTAAGCTGCTTCTGCCCACATGAACAAGGACACAGGAACTCACACCAATGCTGTGACCAACAAAAGATGCTTCCATCAGACTGGCTTTTTCCAGGAAATACTTTAAGGCAAGGAATGTTTCTGTTTGATTTTTTCATGTCTCAGGTCATAGACTTCAACGTACACTGCCCAATTACAGACTCAAGCCCTGAGGAATAACATGGATTTTGCTGGGATTATTTTATTTGGTTCCATCTTGGATAATCCATGACTCCAGAGTGAATTGTTTATAAATCCTGAAGGCATGAAAGTTGGACATTGTGGAGTGGAGGTGATTTTTTTTCTTGATTGGGTTTTTTTTGTGTTGTGGGTTTTTTTCTTTGATTCTTCCCTTGCTTGTATTCTGCTGTTCTACACAGAATGCCTGAACTCAGTGAAATTCAGATATCAACTCAATACCAAATCATTTAAGTCCGTTGAGAAATGCAAAGCATTAAACTATAAGCCTAGAAATAAAACTGTGCAGTTAAAAGGATCAAAACACCAAGTTATTGAAAAAGCTCACCAGGTACCACATCCCCACTGAAATACAAAAAGCTTCCATTCACATATAGCTGAAATACAAATATTAAGCTTTTATCAAGAGCCTTAGATCAACAACAGCAGTGACCAACTGACCACTGTGAAACAGCTCCTGCTGGATCTGGCTGAAAGAGCAATTCAGGTCATTTTAATCAATGTTTTTGACAAAACAGATTCCTGAGTAGTCATTCTCACAGTTTACTAATTACAGAAAAACTAAATTAGAGAAGATAAAATTGAATGGGATGTAATGGCCTATGCTTCTAAAACTCACTTATCTCCCACTAGCTTCACCCCCTGAAGCACCAGTTTTCAAACCTGTTTGATGGATTGTTTAATGCAAAATTGTTTCAAGGTGATCTAATAATAACAGGAGATGTTTACATCCCATCTCAGCCTCCTCCTCACCTTGTCCACGTGTGGGTGCCAGTACTCATCGTGTGTTGTCTTGGCTCCTGTGCTGTTCATCCTGGAGAAGAACGTTGGCTTGGTCAGGTACATGGCAGAAGAGCTGATCCCAAACACCTGAGCAATCCTTTGCTGAATCCTCTGCCTCACATCTCTGCAAAAACATACACAGCACAGTCAGTGACACCTCTCTGCTGCAGCTTCTGTGGTCTCCAGACACTTACTGCTTCCTCCTCAGCTGAGAAACCATGGCCAACACTTACCCATTCCTTATTTTGCCAGGGAAAGAGAGGAAGGAAGGAAAAGAGGAAAAGAGGGGAAGGAAGGAAAAGAGGGGAAGGAAGGAAAAGAGGGGAAGGAAGGAAAAGAGGGGAACGAAGGAAAAGAGGGGAACGAAGGAAAAGAGGGGAACGAAGGAAAAGAGGGGAACGAAGGGAAGACCCTCCAGTGGTTTTGCTTTGTTGCTTTTGTTTTTTCAATTCTCAGAATATCAAGGAAAAGAAACTATGCCTTCTGTGGCCTAAATTTGAAAATTTGTCTCCTTTCCTCAATAAGTCCACACCTATCCCACTGTTGGTTAACTGCTAAAAACAATAAAGTCTTTCATATAGATATTTTAATCCAAATCAGGTAAAAGTAAAGTTGTACCTTCATTAAAGTATTGCCTCTGAAGAACTTTTAACAAGTTTTAAACCAGCTGGTGAATTCCTTGGCACCATGAAATTCAGGGTTCTTGGTCAATATATGTATTGGTATTATTAATAGATTTTTTAACATGAATGCAAGATGTCTTTCACAGTTACAGTGTACCAACAAGATAATCTGAGAAAACACATTTCTGAAGTTGTGCATGGAATTACATTAGTAGGTTTGCATCTTCCATTACATTTCTTCACTCGATAGTACTGAACCTCAGCATAACTTTCTTAAAAGTTTTTCCCAGGTATTTCTCTAGGGAACTTAAATAAGTGACTAAAATTGACTGAAAAGTGACTAAAAAGAAGTGGCAGAATTAAAACAAGACCTGTGGTGTGTGTCTACAGGCTGTGAAAATCATCTCTTAAAATCAACAAGTACTAAAAAATACTAAATATTCATTCTGTTCACACCTAGTCTCTCACAAGAAATAGAAATAACACACACAGACTGGATTTTTTAACCTGTCACACATTTTTAGGGTTCAATTCAAGCTATTTTATATGTGAGATATCAAAAGCATTAAATGAAGCCAGAGGGATTTTCAGGGATATATATGGCTGCATGAACTGATGTTTCAAGTTCAGAGCTACACAGTGGTGGAGTTTGCAAAACTGACACCAAAAAAGAACCTACAGCTCCTTCCTCTCATGCTGGGGGAGGCTGATCTTGCTGTCTGCTTTTTCTGAGGAGTAAGATGCAGGAAAGGCTCCCAGAAAGCATTAAATGCAATTACTTGTTTTGTGAATTGAGAACTTTGAACAAGAATTCGTAGCCACAAAGAGCAGAGCAGCTGATTCCCTGGCCCCTGCATCAGCCAGGAATAAATCCACTCCCAAGCAGTCAGACCACAGTCTTGACATAACTAAATCTCCAGCAGTTGTCCTGCTCTGCAAGGAGTCCTCCCTCTTCCTTCAGCCCAATTCATTTGCCACTTTTAAAAGTTTTCTGTTAGGGTTTGCTGTCTGCTGTTTATAAGGCTCTGTTAAAGGTTTGCTCCTCTTGGAGAGTGTGCAATGGCTTTGGGCAGAATGTGTATTTTACAAAGCAAACAGGATGCAAAGCCCTGCTCAAAAAGCCAAATATAGCACGCAGCTGGTTTGAAAAGTAGAATAAGGTCACTTTTTAGCCTAGAAAAACCCTTCTGTACAGTCTGTTTTCTGCTGGCCAGGCCATTTCAACATTTATCAATATCATGACTGCAGGTTTTTCATTCCATTCCCTGCCCTGCTGTCCCGAACATAACCTAGTGGCAAAATACTTAAGGACAAAAACATTGTTCTTCATGTGTAAAACAAAGTGATAAGGTGTGGTGGCTGAAGCCAAATTTCAGCTCAGAAGGTGCAATCAAGCAAGGAATGAATGAACCCAGAACCTGGGAGTGTCACATTGTTCCTTCAGCCTCCACAACCCAGAAGCAGCAGGAGCCTCCCTTCCCTCACTGCTCCTGGCCCACTGCCTCTTCAGAACTGTTGGGAGAATTCTGGTGGACTGTGGCTACAAAGAAAATACTTCATTCATGCTAGAGAATATAAACATTTGTTTTCATAAGCACAGCAACTCTTGCCTCATTCAGACTGCAATAACAGAGCTCTGCAGGTGCAATAAATGCCCAGGAACAACATCAGTACCAAATTAATGCTCCCCCCACACCTGTCAGCAGCAGCCCTTGTCCATTTGCACTGAGTGATTAGAAAATATCAAAATGCTCACACCAGACTCAGGGAAAGGCAGACCAGAACTCCCTGAAAGGAGCACATGACCACCAGATTCTGTAAAAACAGTTAATCTTTTGGACTTAGGGTGATGAGGAAGAAAATTTAAAAAAAAAAAAGCCAGTGAAGTAGCTGGAAGTTCAAGGAACACACAACTTGAGAGAAGGGAAGTTCACTAGCTTGCAAAGCTGCCAGTTTAATGTAGCAGCAGCAGCACAGAGAGCTCCAAGTGCCACTGAAAAGCTTCTGTGAGACACAGGCTCTGCCAGACCAACACAAAAAAATGCAGTTAGGAGCCATTGCAAGGTGTGATTCAATCATGGTGACAGGAACACTCAATCCCACACAACTCCCTGATTATTCCACTTGTCAGCACTGTCCCAGGGAGCTGACAAAGCAAAGGCCTCCTGCAGCCAGAGAGATTTAGCAGCAATCACACACAGACTGACACAGGCAGAAAGCAAACTCACAGCTCTTCCTCTGCTCCTCACATGTCTCTGCCTTCAGAAGCTGTAAGGTTTTGGGAATAAAACTTTGATTGTGCTGTTTTCTGCTCAACTCACCCTTTCCACCAAGCATCCTGATTAAAGGTCTCCTTTCTGAATAACATTTCATTTATTATGTGGAACAAGAGGGATTGCTGTAATGTGCTTGGCAGATGGTGGTTAAAGTATCAGCCTAGAAATCATAATTTGAGTCTGAAGCAATGTAATTTTGACAGAGGCAGTTTAGAAATCAGCCCCCTGGCTCAGGATGCCTTCTCAAATTCATTATTGTTGCAATCAGTAATACTTAGACATGAATGACATTCAGTTATTTCTCTCAAGAGTGTATTTTTAAAGTGACCTTGGTAGGTAAGGGAAAGAAACGAAGATAAATGCTCTCAAAAATAGCATAAAATAATTCATTAAGGCCATAAAGTACTACAGCCCATCTTAAAGCACTGCCATTAATAGGAACAGAAGCATTTAGTAATATATTTTGTATTAGCTTTATATCCAGCAGACTGAAACATCCCCTATACTGGCATGAAATCCCAATGGAATATTGACATTCCCTAGCAGCTGTCTCATCTCACAGCATGAAGTTATAAAATTATTGAAAAATTGAGTGCTCCTGTACATGTGAAACAGAAATTATACATTTTCTTTATGCAAATTTCAACAGTAACCAAAGAATCATCTATTTTTTGCAATACTGGGATCAGAAGTGAAAACATTTTAAAGAAGTTCCTCTATAGAGGCAATGACACCTAAAAACAGCTGTTAAATAGAAGTAAGCGTAATGTGATTAATATTTTAGGATTATATTCATTAATTACTATTTTAATAAGACTAATAAATCCATTTGGCTACTTAACATTCTTTCCACCACTAGAGGGAGGTCAGATTCCTTCACACAGACAAGATAAAAAAAGACCAAAGAGTTAAAATGTTCAAATTAAGGACATTTTAAACAATGAGAAACCAACTGAAATGCATAACCAAAGAATTATTGTGTCTAGTCAACAAAGAATGCTTGTTCCTAAACTTTGGCCACACACCTTCCCAGCCACATGGAACTTGTTAGGTTTGTTGTGTTTGTTAAGTGCATGAGCAGGGCTCCAGGAAAGTTGAGAGCATCAGATGCCAGAGCTGCTCCATTATAGAGCTATTTCATCCTCTGGCCGCTTCTCCAGCCAGAACATGAGTCATCTGAAGTTCTTCCACTTCCTGCTTGACCATTTTTAATGTTTTGCTACACTCTGCCTCAAAAAACCCCAAGTTCCTGATGTAAAATAGCCCAGGATTGTGTCTATCATCTCACACAACGCCTTGGATAATGTGTGAAAGGGAGGTAATGAGGAAGGATTTTCCATCTCAGCTCCCCATATTCCAGCAGATCCCCACAGAGCTCAGATGAGCAGCTCTTCTTGCTGGAGGGAGGGAAGTATTTGGTGCTGCCATCACCCCGGGTACATTCACACCATAAAACTGCGCTGATGTGGCTGATTCAGTTCAAATGTTGTTTATCAGTCACCAAAAAGTCCTCTTACTTCTCTTCCTCAAGCCATCTTATATCTCAGAGATTATTATTTTGAGCTGCAAAATCCAGTGTATGAATGCAAAGGGCAATCCCTTCCCAGCCTGCACTCTACAAAAAACTCAGAACCATAAGAAGTTCTGGTTTGTGGTTCATTCAGCAGTTCCTGAAAATCTTTACCGGTATAATGCAAAATCCTCTTCTGTGAAGATGTCTTGAATTTTGTCCCCAAAGTACCTGAAAAATCAAACAACAGTCTAAAAGAGGAGCTGCTGAATCAGACTGAGCAACAACATTTCCTCACCCCACCCATGCTTCACCCACAATCAAAAATTGAGAACACAACACCAAAAAAAAATCTTACAAATGCTTTTGAGCATGATGTCCAAAAGCAATGCTAAAAGATCAAATGTTAAAAGATTAAAGGATTGAAATGCTGCAACTGGTAATGGCATTCCTCAGGCATTAAAAAAATCCCCTCCACATCATGAAATAAGCACTTGTTTTTAAGGGTTCAGGCTATTTGATTTCTTCCACTGCTGAAAAACTAAACTATAACTGCGAAAAAATATTATGATTAGCTGGTGCAAAAACATAAAAATAAAGATAATGGCAGCTTTCAAAGTGCCCAGTTCAACAAAAGATTCATTTTCATGCCAGGAAAGCTCTTTAACTGGTCATGGAAAGTCTGGTGAATCCAGCCAACTTCCATAATTTCTCATCACTAATCCCAGCCTGGAGGCTCAAGACTGGAAAAGGCAGTGGGCAGGGAAGGGGTGGGATGACAGGAAGCCAGAGATTACAATTATTATTTTTATTATTACAATTATTATTATTATTACCTGTACAGATTAACAAAATGCTTCCCCAGGGAAAGAGCTCCGGAGTGTAAATCCAAAATTGATGCCTGGAAAAGGAAACAAAGAAGGAAAAATGAGCATGAAAAGGTTTTAGCATTATTTAACTCTGACCTTTAATAACAGCCCCAAGCTGACTCTCACTTTCCACAGCCTCCCAAGTAAATGTAGTTCCCAGCCTTTGGGTTCACAATATAACATTCATTTTACAGCTACAAACCTCCCTCAGATCCCTGCAGAGATTATTAAGGTATTATGAAAAAAAGCACAGGACTGCTGTTCCTGAGATTCAGATCTGACAGGGAATTGCCAGAGTTTCCCCTCATGGGCTCAGGGTAAATCACTGTGCTCCAGAATCCCTTCTTGAAGACATTTCCCTTCCACACAAAGATGACTCATTTTCCAGTATTTGTGAGGTGCTCAAGTAGCAGCACTAATATTTATCTTGTCTTGCATTTATTGTTAAAACTTCTCCTTCACCATGAGATCCTGTATACTTCTCATATTTAATAAACACATTAAAAAGTCTGTTTAAAAGTACAATTAGAATTCCAAGGCTTACTAGGGCCAAACTTTCTTTTCCTCAATTTCTAAGCTGCTGTGAAAGAAAACCACACAGTGAAAAGACTGTTCACATAGGAAAATTCAATTCATTTCTTCATCCAATTCAAGCCAAACTCTTTTTCTGAGCTCCCAACAAGCTGCAAAGATTAGTATTCAGATTTGCCAGAAGAGAGAGCTACCTCTTAGATTCTAAAATATTTCTTTAATTTGATAAAGTACACTTTTGTATGGCCCCTGCTGTCCACAATATACATGTTTGTTCTGCATCAGTTCAAAAGTATTTAAAAATGTAACTAATAGAAGTCTTTTTGTTTTTACACTGGAAATATCAAAGAGCAACAGTTAATTAATGTGACTGGCACTGAAGGTAGAGTATCTGGGCACTCATCTTGGAATTTGGCGTTGTTCTGATGCTCCACAGACCATTCACATTATTCTGATAAAATCCCAGCACTAATAACACTGGTGACAGAGAACACACTCCTAAATATCCAGAAATCTCTGCAGCCTCAATTGCTCTGAGCTCCAGAGCTGAATCAGGGGAACCCCACTAACAACTCTTATTACAAGAGATAATAACTTTCTTTTAAAAAAATTACACAAATAATCTCATTTACCCCTTAAAAATACATAAAGTAACACATTACTGGAGTGTACACAGCCTGAGCTCTCAGATCTGCTCTCCAAAAGCTTCAGAGGACTGTTAAGGAAACAAGTAATCTCACACTCATGCATGAGCAGCTCTTGTACTAAGCTTTAATCAAGCTTCAGAAGCAAAATACTTTCATCTATTGGTTTCTGGTTCTGTACAAAAATCCAAGCCACAGCTAAAAGAAGTAAAACTGCTCCTGTGTAGCTTCAAGTATATGTTTGTGACCATATTAAAGTAGATTATAAGAAGTACCACAACACAGCTGAGATTAATTTAATTTGCCTTTCTAACTCTTTCCACATGCTTTTCAAACTTACACATTTTCTTCTCACTCCCCAAGCTCCAGATGATTACAGTTAGGAAGATCCAAAATAATAAAATGAATCAATAAAAGACATCCCCAAGAACTGTAGTTATTTATAGCTGAGAAGGCAATAGCTACAAAGCCTAGAAAAGACAGATAAAGGCTGAAGAGAGAATCTGAAAAAGAAAGAATATTCTGCAGGGTTGTTTCAGACATGGGAAAATGAGTGAATAATGCCAACAGGGACTTTCTTGCACGTGAGCTCAGAGCACTTTGTTTAACAGCTACCTGGGCAAGAAAAAGGAACACATTTATTTTAGCCTCTGTCATTTCAGAATATTAAACATTTTCAGCATCATTTCCAACACTGAGAATAAAATCTTGGTTACTTCAAGCCCCTCTCTGACCAAGGGCCAGCCTGCAGTTCAGGACAGTGTTCCCAGGCTGAAAGGTCTACAAGGATTGTGTAAAGATGGCAAACACACTCCCACACCCCTATTTCTGAGACTTGCTCAACAGAACTACCCCCATATCCTGGTTTACAGAATTCTCCATAGAAGTGAAATAGAACTTTCTTAAAAAAATAAAAAGCACAGGTGAGTTCCTCTGTACCTTCACTACTGTTAGTCCCATATTCTCCACCCTCTTACTGCTAAAGGAGTTCCAAAATAATGTTCAAGTATGCAGCACTTCTCAGCTTATGGCAAAAAGGATCAAGTTTCCCATCTTGGAAAGCCTGAAGGGCCCTGCCTGTGTTCCTCACTAGAAGGGATTGCCAACCATTAAATACCTGCTCACATCCACACCAGCTCCCCCAGCCCGTCAAAGGTTTTATGTGATTCTTTGAAAGTGAGCAGCAGCCACGTCACCCAAAGGAGGAAAATGAGAAAACCTTAATTTTACTCATCTCTAGAGGAGCTGGCAGCTTCCAAACCCTCCCCCAGAGCTCCTGTGGGAATGCTGACACAGTCCAGCTGAGAAGAGGGATGAGAATGGAGGTTCTACAGGGGCACACCAAATGCACTGTCACTGCAGGCAGCCTCTCACACTCTTCAGAACAATCTCACCTTCAAACACCCTTCCCTCCTTGGAGGAGCAGCCAGCCAAGGCTTCTGATCCTAGAGAACCTCCTTTTGCAATTACACTGATTAACAAGGACACACGAGGGTAACCAGCCTGGGTTACACCTCAGCCAGCCTGGGGAGGCTCAGGTTACTGCTGGGGAGCTTAAATGCAGTTTTTGGCTACAGAGTCCAGCACAAATTTACACCAGACACAGACTGGACACAACCAGTTCCTCTCCAGCTTCCTCAGCCAAAATAATCACATCAGCACAGAGCTGGGAGGAAGGTGGAAGATGCTGCCAAGTGCATTTTTCACCCCTCAGTATGTGTTTCCTATGCACTAAAAGGAGGCTTATTAGGAAGAAAGAGAAATCTGCAGCCTGCAGTAGAGGTATGAGATAGGACCAGGATTCTGCACAAGGAAAGCAGAGCTGGCAGCATTTTGAGGACTTCAGATTTTGGCTGGAAGGGCTGAAAGGAGAACAAGGGATGTCTGCAGAACCACTGGGCTGGAGGGCCCACAGCAGAACCTTTTCTTTGGCATCACACAGTTTGTTTGCTTCTCCCAGTGACTAAACAAATTAATTTTCCCCTGCAAAGGGAGGTGTGGGTGCCTGCTCCTGCCAGTTGTGCTGGAAGGCAGGACACAGACTGCAGCTGACTGCCTCACCGAGGGGTTTCTCTTCTGGGGCTTTGAAATAAATACAAATAGGTGTGAGAGTAAATGAGCTCTCATTTACACCAAAGGGTTGCTATGATGGCAGCACCTACAACACTTGAGTGAATGAGTCAGGACTGAAGTTTTCATACAAGCAGGGGTGATGTGCAGGAAAAATAGCAGGGAGAGAAGAATTGGAAAATCACAGAAGGTTGAAAAGGGAAATATCATTATCTATATGAAGAAGAAAAAAGCTGAGGCAAACACCAAGACAACTAATGCAATTCCCATTCTGTGAATAAGGAACAGAGTATAAAATAACTTTACAGACACAGCTGTATAAGGGAAAACAGCTTGCTGGTGGAGAAAATATTCCTGTTTGGATTCTGCTGGAAATTAGACCAGAAGATTATTATGCCTTGTCTAGCTCCACTCTGTGTGTGTCTGAATAAATAAATATAAACCCAGGAAAGTTACAAAGGAAGATAAGAAAGCTCAGCATGACAACTGGGGTGTGACCCCTGGGAGGCTTCAATAATTCAGATGTTTGTCAAGACTTTCTCAACATAAAAAGATGGAATGGAAAACAAGTTTTGGTGCTATGCTCCAATACTCCAAGGAAGGGCAGCAAACAAAGGGAGGAGAAAATTGATAAAATCACAAACTGCAAGTTTAGGCCTTTAAATTAATAAATCATATCTAGACACACAGGCACAAATTCACTTCTGAGAATTCAAAATATAACAACTATGACAGGCAAAAAAAAAAATAAAAAAAAAATAAACCCAGACATGTTGTTTACAAAGGGGTTAAGAGGAAACCCTAGACATTGAAAATACAGTCTGAATCCAAATAGAAGCCTGTAGAAGTTTTATTTGGAATAGCAAAGAGAACAAAGTAAGCTAAAGTAAGAATTAAAGATAATTACACAGCAATAGTAATTTTGAGGTGTTTTAAAGGAAAAATTAGTCTTAGAGCAGACATAATTGGACAGGATTATCCAAACACTCTAAAGCCAAAGAAATTTAGAGCAACAAGCCAGACCTACTCCAAGTGGTTGGAAGCTTGGGAGCACAACATAGCTGGATGGAATAAGGCTTGAAATATTATTTATGCTCTGTGGGTAAGAGACTGGAAAAGATGAAAGGCTCAAAAAAAAAAAAGACAGTTTCATCTAAAGCCCATCAGCAAAAATCCAGCAGGATTCAAATGGTATCTGAGAGCCAGGATAACAGTGCCAGGAAAAGATTTGCACCATGACACCAGGAATATAGGCTGGCACATGGGAAAAGAGAAAAAGGTATAAAAGAAACTGGGTAAGGAGAGTGCATTTAGAGGCTTCTCCTGAATATGATTCTGGGAGAGCAGCGAGACTCTGGCACAGGGAGCCCAGAGCAGCTGTGGCTGCCCCTGGACCCCTGGAAGTGCCCAAGGCCAGGCTGGAGTAGCCTGGGATGGTGGGAGGTGTCCCTGCCCACGGCACTGGATGATCTTCCAGGTCCCTCCCAGCCCAAACCATTCTATGACTCTTACAATTTCAACTTCCCAGAACCACTGGGCAGCTCTTGTTTCTAACATCTTTCAGGTTTTATCCATTATTTTGGTTAAGTGCTCAATACAACATTACACTTTCTTCTTGAACCTCTCCCTAAGGATTAAGAGCTCACAAGAACTTCCTCACATTTACAGATGATGAGACATGTGAGAAGGCTTGGCTCAGAGCCCAGACCTCTCCACAGACATCAGATTTTTAACAGATTTATTTTATCACAGCAAGAGAGAATCATCTTCCCCTCCCTCTCATTTAGTTCCCCTTAAAAAAAAAAAAAACCAAAAAAAAAACAAAAGCAAAATGAAGCTTCCAAAATAACAGAGATGATGGATTTAAATTTGTCTGTCACTCTGGCTTGTTGTTCAATTAAGTCAGCTCTGGGCTTTGGGCAGCAAGTTTATCTCCCCCTCTCATCTCTTCCCAGCTTTCTCTGCCTCAGTTTCCCCAGTTCCTGACCCCCAGCTGGACAATAGCTTTCTGTGGGTCTCCAGATCCAAGTTCCCCGTGTTCCACCTTGCCATTCTAATCCCTCTTGGTGGGAGTGTAATGAAAAATCCCACATAGGTCCCAAAAACAGAGGAAAGCAAACCCAGGTGACAGCCCCAGGAGCCACACTGGGGGTCCCAAAGGACACAGAAATCCAGGGAAAACAGCAAATTATGCAACCACAGAACTGCAAAAAAATCCAGGGGATCCTAACAGAACTGAACACAGAATGTTAAACCTTTTAAACACATTGTTTGACATGGGCAGCACTGCTTAAATTTCTTGGTTTATATTTTTTGCAGATCTTTCTCAGCAATCACAAGGACAATAAATTCTTAGTTTTCCACTGAAACCTTTCTTATTTTTTTGCTTATATATGTCCTAATTCAGCAAAGGCCTGAAGAAGTTGTTGTGTTTACAAATACTCAAGAAACAGTTCCTGTTCACAAACAAAAACATTTTGAGAACAAAGCTGGGGGAAAGAAATGAAAATAAATGTGCTTGTTAAAGCTAAGTGGGATTCTTTCAGTTTGAAAAATATTATTCCACGAGCTACTTAAGACATTACATGGGTTTTTTTTGTCACTACACAAAATCAATCTTTACATGATGCTGTGAACTATTGTAATTTTACTTTCAGAAGTCAAACTTTTGTAGTTCTGCTATAGCAACTCTTTCCAGATGAAGAAAAAATCAGTTCAAGAGAGATGCTAGAAATAATTAAATACAAGGAAATGATTATATTGCAGAAGTCAGGAATTATACTGCTAGAATAATTATTAATGGGAAATAACTTTCCAAATCAATTTTTTTCCAAGTCTGAACAGAAGGAAAAAATCTCCATCACCTCAGCCCCAAAAAATGCATTTATAATCTTGAGTTGGCAGTAAAAGAATGTAGAAAATAACAGGACACTGCTCACCCCTCCATCAGATCCTCCCAAGGACAGTCCCCTCTCTGCTATTCTGCAGGCAAAACAATAATCTCAGATGAAAACTGAAGTCTGATTGTCCTTTAATGTCCTTATTTACAACATGTAACTCCTCAGAGAGTGGTATTTCATGCATCAGGTATAACTCAACTGATAGCAGCTCCCATTTATTTGAAACTGAACCTTCCAGCCTGTCATGAAAATAAAGTATTTGTGTTGCAGCACATTTCTGAGCTTGCAGCTCCCATCCACAAATCCCAAAAATATCCTACAAACAGTCCCTTCACAGAGAACTACAAGGTCAGCAGCAGCTGGTGATTACCCAGACAGACATAGCTGCAATAAGGTTTACATTGTTTTGTTCTGCTTTTAAAGGCCAAATGGAGGCCAAGTGAAAATCTTTTAGAACTTATTTAATTCCTTTTCCTTTCTCTGTGTCGAGTGCCCATGCCCCTCAGAGCCAGGCAGATTCTCTGTGAAAGAACTGCCCTCACTACAGTAAAAATGGAAAATGGCTTTAGTAATATAAATTTCATGTTTTAATCAGTCTATCCCATCCTGCTCACCCATCCTACACCTCAGATTGGCACAATGTCATTAAAGTCAGTGATTTTAAAAGTTAAAACTAAAAGAATTACCTACGAATTCTTTCAGCTTCTTCCCTTGTGATTACAGCATCTGTCACACCTCTTCCACACTTCCTAGGAGTGCAACCTGCAATACAAAGAGGAGGAAAATAACCCATTAAAACCACTTCAGCCACCTGAGGGGCAGGTTTTTAAATGAGACTTTGCAAAGAAGTCTCTCTTGAAGTCACTCTTGAAGCACACAGCTTGGATGTAAAAGATTTTAAAAGTCTCCTAAATTTCGTTGCTAAGAAATCTAACATTAAATTTTAAAAGCTCCTGGGAATAACAAGTCAGCAGCAAGAGTTCCAGGTGAAGAATATATGAAAGTTCTTACTAGTCTGGTTGACAACAATCTTCAGGCAAGAAGAAATAAGATCAGTTCTGAGCCACCAGAGACCTTGGGATGTTACATTTGGCGCTTTTTTGAGGAAGATCCATTTACAGATGTAAATCCCCAGGAGAGATGGGATGAGTGTGTTTTCTGACACCTGCCAACACACTCAGTGCTCCTGAACTGAGTGTTCACTTCAAGAATTATTCATCAGAAGACAAAATTCCTGGAAATAAATCAATCAATTCACCCATGGAGACAAAAGCATCAGTCTGCTCTGATCAACAGCAACTCATAAAACAGTGACCAAGCTGATGGGAGAAGTATTGCCAGAATTTTGTAGGAATTTCCATTTCCTATTTCTGGATATACCCCAGCTAAGCCTCAGGTGGGCTGCAAGGGGAAGCTGATGCTCAACTAGAGAAGAGCTAAGAAGGAGTAAACTCAAAGGAGAAATTCAGTACTCCAGGACAAACCTGGTTATTGAGAGATTCCTTTCTACAAACTTCTGCAAAGATCTCTGATTTCAGATGAGACTTGTTCCTCTTCCAGCCACAAATATCAGCACAACTCTTACATTTTTGGAAAAGCCAGTGCTGGAGAGTCCAGGCTTGGCAAAACTACAGGATTACCTCAGCTAATTTTTACATGTCTGGGGTCTCTGAAAGAGAACTGGCAAAGAGTACTGGAAGCAGGAGGTGTTCTGAAAGCAACAAGCATAAGCTTTCCCAAATGGAGAAAAAACTCCAACAGATAAATGTAGTCAAGCACAAAGCCAGTCAGATACCAAGAGTACAGCACAAGCTCTGGGTGAATGCTAAGGAAAAATCAGAAGAGTTTGGAAATTATTTCAGCAGTTAGAGAAGTGTCCTGTCTCCAAGACCGTGGCACATGTGAGCAAGGAAGTGTCAAAGGCATACCTGGAAAATCTCAGGAGACATTCAGATTAGTACTGCAAGTACCTGGTAGCTTGCACAAATTTGTGCCCAGTAGACACAAAACCATCCCTTTATTTGATAAGGCACCATCAGCTTTGGCTATCAGGTAAATCAAGGTAAAGGAGGAACATATTAAAGCAGGTAAAGAACAAATACTGCCACTGGCCCCTGCTCCCATTCAGAACAAAAACCACAATGTAACACAAAGAACCAAGTGCACAGCTGTGTCTCCTACTTAGTGGTATTTAGCCAAGAACCACTCACTGCTGAGACAGAGAATTCACAGGAGAAAAAAAAGCTCTGCTAAGATATTCCCCTGAGGCACAGGATCATAGAACAGTGTGGTTGGAAGGGACTTTGGAGATCATCTCATTCCACTCTCTGTCCCTGGGCAGGGAACAATCCCTCTCCAAGCCAGACTAGAGCATGCAAAGATTTACAGCTGCCATCCCCACAGCAGTCTGAGCTGGACCTTTCCAGGCTTCTCTGCTTTCCACATCCCCTGGCCTTGTCCCTGGAAAAGCACCTTAACTCTGTCTCCTGGGCAGTGACCATGGATGCTTTGTGCACTGACACAGAATGTCAACACACAGCAGAAATTAGATTTCAACCACACTCAGTGGCCACAGTCGGTTTAAGTAGTTAACCGTGTCTCAGGAGAGCAGAAACAGCCAAGATCTGCCCACAGAGTTTAGAATGCAGGTGAGGCTGTGCTCACATAAAACCCTACCTTCTGCAAATATAGCAAGCTAACTGCCTGGCCTCTGAAAAATAGCAAATTTTATTTGGTAGGAAGCATGTTTACAGGCAGGTGGTGCTATGGAAATAAATCCTGCTCTGACACCAGCTACCAAATCACTTGAAACAAACTGGAAGCTCAACTGCACCAAGTTCAGCTGGAAGCAGGGACAGATGAATAAATAAAAGCTCATTTTAGCTGTGGAAACTTCACAGCTGAGCATCAGACACTGAGTGGTGACAGGAATGTGCCTCCTCCTGACACTGAGCCCACAGCTGTGGATGCCAAACCAGGCTAAAGACTGAGAATGAAGAGCTACTGAGTGACACAAACCTATTTCCCAAGTGCCTAAAGCTGCTGAGCTGATCCATAATCCACGTTTTCTGCCTCACTGGGAAGTGGGGAACTGGACACACAAAATTCCTCCACAGCTCATCACCACCCTCGAGTGGGGAAAAGCCATCACAACTCGGCTTTAATTAACCAATTAACAGAGCAATCACAGAACTTCAGCAGCAGCACCAAGCAAACATCTAATCAGAAAGGCAGTCAATCACCCCCATACCAAGCCAAGAGGTGAGGCCTCATCCTGCAGTCAGTGCTTGCTGCTGCTCCCCAGGACGCCCCCAAAAATAAAGAACACATTCATTCCTGCTCCTGGAGAGATGTGCTTCAAGTTCCTGCCTTCCTTGAAGTTCCAACCTTCCTCACAGTAAAAAGAACAGAATGAAAAAGAAGGACTAGAAAGAAAACAATGAAAAGGATAATTGGATGGATGACCCAGACCACAAGTCCACAGCTCAAAAAAATTGCTCTTGCAAACCAGGGCAGGAAAAAGTAAGGTTTTGTTGGTTTGGGAGGGTTTTGGTTTTTTTTGTAAACAAACACTGTAGTAGCAGAATCCAGAGACTTTTAGCCCCAGTTCAATCATAACCAAATCACCAGCTGCAGTTTTCTGTGGCCTTGCACTACTTAAATATAACCAGCAGCAGTCTCCCCTTATAGTAACTACAAAAAGTTAAAAAGTGTTCTTCATGTGTTCTGTCAAAAAAAAATAAAAATTACCTTACCAAGACAGCATTTTTATTGTTAGCTTCCTGACATCAGTTTTCTTGGACTAAATAACATTTGGGATGAATCCTCAAAAAAAGAGATGCTACACTAAGGAAAAACCATGTGACCCCAGCCTCCACATAAACTTCTCTTTTATGTCACAAGTCTTTTTGACCAACAGCACCAGGACCAGCCACCTGAAGAACACAGGAAGCTGCAATTTGTCAAACACTTTCTATCAGAACTGGCACAGAAGAAAGTTAAAAATTGCAGAATCACAGAAGAGCCCAGGTGGGAAAGGACCTCCAAAGATCATCTGGTTCTGCTTTTTGTGGTGCAGAGAGCCTGGATAAGATTATCTAGCACAGTACTCAGTCACAACCTGGAAACCCTCAGTCACAGGGTCTGCACAGCATCCCTGGGGAGGTTGTGCTAATGACTGAGTGCTCTCTCTGTAAACTTTTTTTTATATCAAGATGAAACCTTGCCTAATGCAACCTGCAACCACTGTGCCTTGTTTTCTCCGTGCAACTCCTTGCAAAGGCAGAACTTCTGTCTTCTGCAGCACCCCTTTAACCACTGGAATACTGGGATGTGTTCTCCCTGAGCCTTCTCCAGGGAAAGGAGACTTAGCTCCCTGAGGTTTTCCTTATAGGACAGGTTCTCCAGCCCTTTGATGACCTTTGTTCTTCCTCAGGTCACAGCAGCTTCTTCCAGCCTCCAGCTTTGTGTCAGCGTTTTCTCAGCCACATTCCAAAGCAGAGATACAACCACCAATTTGGCTAAAAACTACCTCAGAATTTTTTTTGTTTTTTATCAGATTCAACAGCTTAGCAGTCAGCACACAGCCAGACATACAGGAAAAAACTAAGAGCAGAGCTGCTGTCTGGCAGCTGTACCAACTGAAAGTGTTCATCACAACACACTGCAAATCTGAGAGAGAACATCAGCACTGCTCATCCATGGAAGCTGCAAGTCAGACCCTCACTGCTCTTTGTCAGAGAAGATTAAAATCTTCCATGTCTCTTGAAGAACCGACCTCAACACTTCAAAGAAGTGCCAGGGGGAACAGGTACCAATTTGACAAAAAACTGGCTCAGCTGAAAGACACAAAGACAGAAAAGTGCTTTGCAGGCACCCACCCCCAAAGCTACTGGCAGACACACATCTCAGAACAAGAGTGACAAAAGCTGCCACTTGTGCAGTCACCTCATGCTGGTGGCACAATGTCCTGAATCAGTTCCTCTCCATACAGTATATAGTACCTGTATGGTACTGACCAGCAGAAAAAAACACTCACAAACCTACTATAGGAACCAACAGAGTATGAAAAGAAACTAGAAATTGACTTAGCAAAAGGTTTGTTTCATAGAGCCCTTGCAAAGCAGTTTCAGAAGGGAAAAACTTTTCAGTATCAACTTCTGGGCTGGCCCGAGGGGCACAAACCCTTGGGGCTTTAGGCAAGAGACAGTGCCCAGTGTTTTGCTGGAAACACGGGAGTTTTGCAGCCCCAGCTTGGTGCCCAGCCAGGCACCACCATCCACCCCGGGCAGCCCAGTCCTGTTACCTGCAAAGCGTTTGTGGCTGTCGTAGTCCTCCGAGCAGGGGATCTCGATGAACTTGTCACGCAGGTTGTCGCTGCGATGTGCCAGCACCTCGGTGACCCCATCTGCAGGGATCCCACCCTCGGGAATCCCATCCTGGCTGCGGAGGCGGCTCCAGACCACGAGGCCGCCGCCGGCCGCGGCGGAGAGGAGGAGGATCGCTGCCTTCAGCCACCTTCCCCGAGGATCCTGCTGGGATTTGCCCTTCCTGGCGCTGCGGAGGAAGCACAGAACGGGTGCCGTGAGCGACGGCCGGTGCGAGCGGGGAGGGACAGCCCTGGCCCCCCACACCGGGGAGTCCCAGGCCTGAACACACGCGTTACAAACACAGCGCTGCCCTCCCGCTCCCGGGCCCGGCGCTGCGCGACCGCCTCCCCACCGGGAGCGCCGCCGGGCTTGGGCACCGCCGCCCCCGGGACAGCGGGCAGGAGGTGACGGTCAGGGCTCCGTGCTGGTACCTGCTGTGCCGGCGGTCCCCGCGGCC